GAAAAAAAAAAAAAATGGCCACCTCGCTGCCAATCCCAATCAAGCGAACATAGCACAACTTCATTGTCATGCCGGCTTCACTGCTCCTTGCCGCCAATCCCACCGCCACGGCCTCGGCTTCAATCTTTCTCGCCTTTACTCCCACCGCCTCGGCTGCCTGACCTCAGCCCCAGGCTTCACTCCTCGCCGCGACGCCGCCAGTCCTCCACGGCTCCACCGGCACATCGCCGGACCCGATCCACGGCCGCTTACCTCGCTGGAAAAAGCTGAACATCCAATTGTGACATAGATTGAATAGAGTCGATAATTAGATTGAGTTTTAACGTCTTGAAATCATTAATTTTTGTCCGCCTACCCTAAGTTATTAACAATACTAGTATGTACCCATGCGATGCACGGTGGGCGCATAACTTAAAACATATTGAAGTACTTATTTTAAATGTAATTAACTAAATTTAACATCTAATTATGGAAACAAAAAATAAATAAAAAAGAAATCATATATTATTAAAACTTCTCTATACACAACAGTATTTGTTTGATTTGGAGGCAAATCATGTTCACCACATATTAGAATTTTCAAACCCTTTATGTTGGTGACGCGCGAAACAACAACATATAACTGGCCATGACTGAAAACTGATTTCTTCAAGAATAAACCAACGTGGGATAAGGATTGACCCTGGCTCTTGTTAATAGTCATTGCATAAGAGACCACGATAGAGAACTGCCTTCGTTGAAACTTAAAAGGTATTCTTGCATCTGAAGGTGTTATCGTCATTCGAGGTATCAACACTTTATACCCTGCATGGTCCCCCGTAAGTATCCTACATTCTAGGACACGATTGGAGAGTCTTGTTACAACCAAACGTGTCCCATTGCACAATCCCATAGAATGATCCATGTTCAGCAATAGTATAACCGGAGTTCCCACCTTCAAATGCAACTCATGATTTGGTGTACCAGAACATTTGAGAGAATTTAAGAACTCATGAGTGTGGATTTCTGACAAGAAGTCAGAATTCAAATCGGATTTACACGTACTGTCGGAGCTCAAATGTACACGACCTTCTGTTAGATTCAACGACGACATGTATTGATTGATAGACTCAACGATCTCCAACGTAGGTGCAAGTATGGCTCTGTCCTTCAGATAACTTGGATCATCTGTTGCATTCTTGAAACATTGGATACATGCTCTCAACAATTGCAGCAATGGGATCATCGAATGGGTCTATTAAAAGATCATCTGGTATTTCAATGGAGAGACAACCATCGTTAACATCTCAAATAGTACCATCTCCGATGCTAGCAATCCAATCAGCAAATTTAGAAAGCTCCTCACGTTCATCCGAATCATCAAGGCTCTGAAGACGCATGTTCTTCGTTAGCCTAAGCACGGTACAATCTTGCCAAATGGCTGAAGCATTTATTGAAGCATTAACAATCTGTTGACGGTTCCCCTTTAGAATCACCGGGAGGATTTGTCGAAAATCTCCACCAAAAACAACAGTCTTGCCACCAAACGGTCTATAATGGTTGATCGGGTTAACCATTCCCATGATCGCCTGAAATGACGTTTGAACAGCTTCGAAGCAATGCTTATGCATCATTAGAGCTTCGTCCCATATGATGAGGGAGGACCGTATAATTAGCTCTGCCAGAGGGCTAGCCTGGTTGATATCACATGACGCATTTTCTTGAAGATTAATAGGTATGCCAAAGTGAGAGTGTGCAGTTCTTCCACCAGACAAGAGAAGAGAAGCTATTCCACTCGATGCAACACAAAGCACGATCTGACCCTTTGATCGCAATCCCGCAGCTAAAGTCCTCCACAAATATGTCTTACCGGTTCCGCCATAACCGTAGACAAAGAAAACACCGCCCTGACCTGAGTCTACCGCTGCCATAATTCTTGAATAAACTCCTTTCTGTTCGTCAGTCATATTTCTAAGAAGATTACTGTGCTCGACTGATAAGGCCTTGCGGTCATAATTTAGCTCATCCAAAATCAATCGATTTGTATTCGTAGTAACACCAGTCATATCAGGAAAAGGCATTGTTGGATATTCTCGAAGACTCGTGCTGCGACGTCTCAACAAATGTTCAATTTCAGCAAGAGCTAAATTTTTTCTATCTGCATCACTCAGCTGCAAACCTAAGAAGGAAAAAAGTTCAAAGTTAGAATTTAAAAAAATCGACTATAGTACTTGAAAAGGAAATGAAAAATAATAAAATAAACAATAAAACATAAATAAAAAATAAGTCACATACTTTCATTATTGAAGAGAAGACGTTGTCTATAAACGATGTCATCAGAGAGAAAATCCAAACACTGTTCCCATACGTGCTCGGGTCTACCTGTAACGCCCCGTTTTATTTTAAAGAATTTGCCGAATTTATTTAATATAAATCAGAGTATTTTTTTTTTTTAAATCCAAGTTAAAACATTTATCGAAAAACAGGCGCTACTTACTAACCACAACAAACAAATAAAAAGACCAAATCAATCAATCGATAGAACCTACACATGCTCGAGCTATCAAAATAACAATCTTAATAATCATAAATTTCAAACACAATCCCAAACGACTAGCATGAAAGCAAGGTTCAAACGAAATTCAACATAGTTCGAAAATGACGAAACAAATATCCAAAGTACGATAGAAAATAAATAAATATCAAGTTTATGCGGAAGCATAGGTTTCAATACATAATGACCACCATCTCGCTCGTCCTACGCCACTGCCTCCAGCTCGTCTCAACCTAGAATAAAGGAAGAGAGAAGACAACAAGAAAATAATGGGGGTGAGCAACCAACTAGCTCACCATTATCGCACGATTATTCCGTATAATAATTTTTAAAAAACAGTATCATGGTAAAACAGTTTCAATATCGGTATGCACATAATTCCTAGCCTAAACCCCCTACCCAGCCCTATCGCAAACCTCCTATGTACATACAACAACCTTCCGGATACAACGGCATGGCTGTAACTGGGAACATTCCCACCCCCGGGTACAACGGTTCGTAGGATCCTTTCCAGGAGACAGCAGAGATGTTTTTCTCCTTCCGGATACGACGACATGGGGCGTCCCTCGCGGATACAACGGGCAGGCGACCTCCTACTGCTTTCGCATTCATCAAGGCACTAGCGTTCGGGACACTTAGACTAGAGTTCTCATGCATACAAAAATTTTCAAAAGAAACATTACACGAAATAGGAAGTGCAATAATTATGGATACAACACAAATGTACCCACCTGTTAGCAGCTACGGTTCAAATCACAAATCTCGAGACGAGGCGAGGTTCAACACCTCTAGACACCTACATTAAGTCCAGATACTAAAGTCAACACTTTAATCTAGACCTATGTAGCAAACTCAGAAATTGACTTAGCCGAACTCGGTTCGACCAAGTGGTTCGTGAAGTTCTGTGGATATGGGAACACTAGGACATAGACTCGATCAAACCACATATTAAAGTTCACATAAAAGCAAGTGAAAGACAACAAACGAGCCACAAGCAAAACACATGGCACATTTGGTCATCAACACTTAACATATTTCAACATAGAAAAACAATTTCTCAAATTCACACTTAAACTAGAAGGCATATCATATCAATGAGTTAGGTTCTGAAACTTGTACATAAATTTCACATCCCAGTTCTAAGTAAGATCACCCAATTTCAACTTTAAACTCCTTATGCATAATTTTATAAAATTCATACAAGTTTTTCAACAAAAACAAGTTTAAATTAAAAACACATGATAATGGACGATTCAGGCTATGAAATTTTTATCTAAAATACTACAGCATATGAACAGCATCACATAAATTTGACAGCCTTCGACACTCAGGGTATCAGTTTATAAAAATTAAAACAACATTCAGCCAAATATCACAATTATATCAAAACTACTCACCACTGAACTCCAAAAATTCTAGACTTTTTACAGCATGCTAAACACTACATAATAAGCACTTCTACAAATTGTCAGAATTTTTGCACGTCCAGAACAATTTATAATAATTAAAAACAATTTCTGGCAGAATCACAAAGTAATGTGTTGATCCTATCAAACCTAGTTAAAAAATTCTAAACCTTTTACACAACATTCAATAAAGCCTGAAACATAACATATTCGAAAAT